TCAGTCTTCTCGCGGGGCACAAGGATGTGGAGTTCTGTTGATGCCTAGGCCATGTTGATGTCCCGGGAAATGAACAGGCAGATGCCGAGGCAAAGACTGCTGTAATGAGCTCAGGCTATAGGAGACTTCTGCTTTACAATGACTATTTGGACCACATACAGAAATAAATCATCGGAAAGTGGTAGGTCCGGTGGGCCCTACAGACGAGATGCAAGTATTGATGGTTAGGCAGGACGTGGGTGTTTGGTCCACTTCTTTTAACCGGAATCATCACTGTGAGACGAATCATTATTGAGTGAGGATCGGACACACAGACCTCACTCATGGCCACCACTTTACAGGAGCTCGCCATTCCTCTCTGTGTAGTTTGTTGGCTGCAGATGACTGTGGAACACAGTTCAGCTGTCAGCCTACGGCTTACCGAAAATATTAACAACTGAATCGGATTTTATATGATGTTATTTTTTAAAATTGGTTTGATGGTATTTATTTATGTGGTGTGTTTTTATTCATGCTTGTTGCTTTTCATTCTTTGTTAATTTTATCTTGGTTTTTGTGTCTGTGTTTTTTATTTATTTTTGACAAGAGCCCTTAATCATCTGCAGGAGGAGGAGGAGGAGGAGGAGAATCAGGTGGCGTGAGAGTCACCAGCACCAGAGTGGAGAAACTCTGTAAAGATGTTTAAATACCTTCAGGAACACTAAAAAATGCGACTCCTCACTCGGGGTTTCACGTCCCTTCTTCCCCTCCTTTCTCCCTCCCTCCCTTGCTTCCTCTCACCCTTTTTCACTTACCCTGTCCCTCCACGTCTCTTCCAAGCTCTCATTACCCCTCCATCCCTTTCGTCCCAACTCTATATCAGTTCAGTATGTTTGTTGTTGCTGTATATAATCTCATCCCTCTAGAATCTAGATCAACGTCCTCCTGTGTATGCTTACTATCGGTGAAGTGTTCAGTATAACTACAGTGTAACAGAAGTCACATGGTATACCAATGTCACTCCAATACACAAGTTATACCGAAGTCACTATAATTCACAATATGCGTAGTATACCAAAGTCGCTATTATTCACATGATACACCAGGGTAACTATAATTCACATGTTATGTAAAGGTCACATGTCATACAAAGGTCACATTTGAAATGGTATATCAGGGGTCACCACAATACAGGAAAAAATCTGAACACTACAGTGTATGAAAAATCAGACAACACAATGTATCACTACTGTCTTTTTCAGAAGATAACTCGAATAACACCGGTTATTTAACTAATAAATAACTGGGATAACACTAGTTATTTCGCTGATAAATAACCAGAATAACGCCAGTTATATCTCTAAACAGATAACTAGAATAACAGCAGTTATGTAGCAGGCATCTTCCATCTCGCAAAACACATACACTACTTGGGTTAGGTACACCTACTTCAAAGTTCATCTGCAGTGCCACACTTACAATTGACTTCTAACACCACATATTCTAAGACTCTTTACCAACATTAAATTTTCTAGCACGAATGCTTACCCTCTATTTTATTTACACTTGGAAAAGTTAGCTCCACCAGAAGGGGTGACTTTCTATAACTATCCATCTAAGAAAGACATATAAAAATCTACTTTACGACCAACTGAAAGCTAACTTTTGCTTTCTAGGAACAATTTCTAATCCTAGGTATCTTACCTATTGTTGTATAATATTGATTACACTTAAAATTATACTAGCAGTCATTGTATACACATTAAGAAATGTACAACTCTCAGTGTATATACGTTGAGAAATACACACGCCTCTCAGTGTATATACACTGAGAAATAAGCTCCTCTGTGTATATACATTGAGAAATAAGCACCTCTGTGTATATACATCGAGAAATAAGCACCTCTGTGTATATACATCGAGAAATAAGCACCTCTGTGTATATACATCGAGAAATAAGCACCTCTGTGTATATACATCGAGAAATAAGCACCTCTGTGTATATACATCGAGAAATAAGCACCTCTGTGTACTTACATTCAGTGATATACAACTCTCAGTGTATAAATGTTAAGTTATACACACCTCTCAGTGTATATACATTCAGTGATACATACCTCTTAGTGTATATACATTGAGGGATGGATTCCTCTTGGTGTATATACGTAAAGAGAGATAAGCCTCTCAGAGTATATACGTTGTGTGTATATTCTATGTATCATTTAAAAAAATCGATATTATAACTCTTTGCGAATTAGTGAAATTATTTATAAAGTTATATTAATTCAAAATTTCAACCTTAATACAATGAAAAAAATTTTTATTAAAAATACGGAAGCTTATAAACATCGAAGTACAACAGTTCTTCACTGGAACTAATTTCTGATTCATTCTAGCACAAAACAAAAAAACAAAAAAACAAAAGCCTGCTGGAATTTATCATTTATTTGGTATTTTATGCAATTCTTACTGCACATTGTGAAATAAATTCCAAAAAAGGCACGTGTAAGACAGAGAATTATCCGCTAGTTCCTCTGCTGTAATAAACACGGCTGTTATTGACACCAGGGGAGTACTTATTAAACAAAAGTAAAAATAGGCATGCACTAGGACTACAAACACACAACAGTGCACAGCTCTAGTCTCATGCATCTGAAAAACACAACAAAAAATCATGGATATCCCACAATACGGCGCTTAATGCGAAACAAGAAGTGAGGAGACCCTAGACTTGTGTCAACCTCCCAGAGACCTTCACCAGCATCAAGGCACCTGCCTCTGAAGGATGTTATTGCTAGGAGACCAACATCAAGGTACCTGCCTCTGAAGGATGTTATTGCTAGGAGACCAACATCAAGGCACCTGCCTCTGAAAGATGTTATTGCTAGGAGACCAACATCAAGGCACCTGCCTCTGAAAGATGTTATTGCTAGGAGACCAACATCAAGGCACCTGCCTCTGAAGGATGTTATTGCTAGGAGACCAACATCAAGGCACCTGCCTCTGAAGGATGTTATTGCTAGGAGACCAACATCAAGGCACCTGCCTCTGAAGGATGTTATTGCTAGGAGACCAACATCAAGGCACCTGCCTCTGAAGGATGTTATTGCTAGGAGACCAACATCAAGGCACCTGCCTCTGAAGGATGTTATTGCTAGGAGACCAACATCAAGGCACCTGCCTCTGAAGGATGTTATTGCTAGGAGACCAACATCAAGGCACCTGCCTCTGAAGGATGTTATTGCTAGGAGACCACATCAAGGCACCTGCCTCTGAAGGATGTTATTGCTAGGAGACCAACATCAAGGTTACCTGCCTCTGAAGGATGTTATTGCTAGGAGACCACATCAAGGCACCGCCTCTGAGGTATTCTAGGAGACCAACATCAAGGCACTGCCTCTGAAGGATGTTATGCTAGGAGACCAACATCAGGCACCTGCTTGAAGGATGTTATGCTAGAGAACCAATCAAGGCACCTGCTCTGAAGGATGTTATTGTAGGAGACCAACATCAAGGCACCTGCCTCTGAAGGATGTTATTGCTAGGAGACCAACATCAAGGCACTGCTCTGAAGGATGTTATTGCTAGAGACCAACATCAAGGTACCTGCCTCTGAAGGATGTTATTGCTAGAGACCAACATCAAGGTACCTGCCTCTGAAGGATGTAATTGCTAGGAGACCAACATCAAGGCACCTGCCTCTGAAGGATTTATTGCTAGGAGACCAACATCAGGCACCTGCTCTGAAGGATGTTATTGCTAGGAGACCAACATCAAGGCACCTGCCTCTGAGGATGTTATTGTAGGAGACCAACATCAAGGCACTGCCTCTGAAGGATGTTATTGCTAGGAGACAACATCAAGGCACCTGCCTCTGAGGATGTTATTGCTAGGAGACCAAGCTAAGGCACCTGCCTCTGAAGGATGTTATTGCTAGGAGACCAACATCAAGGCACCTGCCTCTGAAGGATGTTATTGCTAGGAGACCAACATCAAGGCACCTGCCTCTGAAGGATGTTATTGCTAGGAGACCAACATCAAGGCACCTGCCTCTGAAGGATGTTATTGCTAGATCACTAAAGGTTGCTATCGTCACTTCTATGTGTGTCTAAACTCTAGAGCTCTAGGTTTCTTTTATACTCTTGACTGAGACCAATCCTAGGTATGTCTACGGTCAGTTCCAGTGTCGCCTAGCGCCACATTTTGAGTGTTGTAAACTAAGTCATGCACAAGAACACAAGGAGTTGCAGAGTTTCTTAGAGGGCTGGCATAAGGACCTTCTAAGTATCTAGTAATTCTCCTAAGATTTCACAGCAAAATTTCTTTAATAAACTTGTAACTAAAACTTTTTGACATAGAGTTTCAATTTAGTTCTTTATTTCGGGATTTGTAAGTATTATCCAGAATTACAGAGTAAAAAACATTTTTCCAAAACTACAGATTTTTTTGCAGTTGTAAAAAATGCTGACATAATTGTAAATTACATCATTAATGTAAACAGAAAGTAAAAATTTTTTTCCTCATGATTTAACGTTCATATCAGTTGGGGTCCATAAGCCAGCCTTCTCTCACTCTTTACTAAAACGCAAGCTAATACGATGTGCAAGAGCAGAGGCAGTTTCTTCGATAACGTATGGACGTACTTAAGTTAATGACATCCTTATTGTGAAGCGGCAGCGCCAGCTAGAGACGTCGCGTGGGAATGGTTTATTGCATCACATAAAAGTGTAGTCCCAGAGCTAAATGTCGAAGTTTCTGGTGCAGGAGAGAAAAAGCCATCAGAGTGTCGTCTGAGGCGCCAGTAGACCAATGACTGCTGGAGAGCCCAGCATTAAACTTTTCCAGGCACACACACACAAGACACTGGAAGGGAGACTGTGTCAGAGACCAGCAGAGTCTCTTAACTTTTTTCTCCTCCATGAGTTTTGCAAAACGAGTTTTTGACGAACCTTCTGAAGGTTCCGCCACAAGTTATCAAAGAAACTGTCTTGCCAACGAAAGAAAAAGAAAATGGTGCTCACTTGGTTATGAGTTTTCTAGCGGGAGGAGAAGAGAGGAAAAGAAACTGTGTTAGTTAAGAAGCGGCAGTAACCGACTTCTGATGCTTAAGTCATTTATACTTATTATACTTTTTATGGGGATCACTTAGCAAATTATGTCTGGCAGAGGTGCTACAAGGATAAGGCTTTATCCGAAGGGGACAACATGATCTCCTTTTAGCATCGTGTTAACTTCCGGAGAGAATTCATATTTTTATTATTTCAGTCGATTGAGCCTTTTTAAAGTTAATGCACGATCATTTTTAAAGCAATACAATGTCTACCTTAATATACAACTGCAAGTGAGCGTGAGTGCGCCAAGCCTACGTTAACACACTACAATGCACTCTGATCTGTGGATGCCGCATGCAGAGTGACGGATATCCCACCTGTGTACTCAAGAATTCCAAAGCTGAGTCGCTGCTGAAGAGAGTGGAAATAATCCACAGATCATTATTTAAAGGCCACCTGGCCAGTATGAAGAGGGTACTCGCTGCCACACTCAACTTAGGAAGTACACAGGTGAGACGCAATGAGCGCCAGGTGGCCACCATCACCTTACCTGTTGATCTTGGATTTTTTGAAGGCGCAGGTGAAGTAGTCGAGGGGCTTGTTGGGCACGTCCTCAGCCATCAAGTTGGGCAGGTGTATCCGCTCAAGGATGACCTCAGACCAGTTAGTGGAGGGGTTATTGTGAGCCTGCAGGGACGAAACAAAAGTCGAAATTTTAAAGTCAGGTCACTTGTTTACAAAGCTACTATTCGACCCACCTCGAGATTTTTATATCTGCCCGCAGGAGACGCCGAAGGTGTTGTCGTTAAAGCCAAGAAAAGGCGAATGTGCAGTCCACTTCGAGGACTTATAGCAGAGCGATGATAACACGCTGAAATTAATGGATAAAATTCTGTACACCGTTACGCCCAACTCACAGATTCAGACGGACAGAAAGATGCTCAAGGTATTATGACCAGAAAGAGACAGGTGGTCAGTAAGATGGTCACGATGTCTGACCAGAAAGACAGGTGGTCAGCAAGATGACTTCGATGATATGACCAGAAAAAGACAAGAAGTCAGTAAGACGGTCTCGACACTGTGATCAGAGAGAGACAGGTGATCAGTAAGATGGTCACTATGTTATGATCAGAGAGAGACAAGTGGTCAGGAAGATGGTCTCGATGTTATGACCAGAAAAAGACCGGTAGTCAGTAAGATGGTCTTGATGTTGTGATCAGAGAGACAGGTGGTCAGTAAGATGTTCATGAAGTTATGACCAACGAGAGACAGGTGGTCAGTATTATAACCAAAGAGTGCGTAGATGTACATGGATGTACATGGGAAAAACAGATGGTAGAGATCTTGGAAGTCTACACAGAAGTTACCTGCTACGTCTACATAGACTAGGAACTATCGTTTATTATGAGTTGAAGATAGAAAAGCAGAAGACTGTCTCCCCACCCTCCAGCCAATGGCAGGCATGCAAATAAAGGGAAAATATTCCATACCATAATTTTAAAATGACCTGGAATTTACAGGGGAGATGGAAATGGATGTAAAACATGGGCTACCATTACATCTGTTACTAATATAACTGCTCGTGTTAATCCACTGTCAGTCTACTTCTGGCTGCCATCACTTCTGCTTTATCTATTGTTATACTATGCACTTGGAAGAAGACACAGATCAGTGTTGGATTATACTAAGTTAATACTTAAAACTGTATAAAATGAACTTATATTATTATTATTATTATTATTATTATTATTATTATTATTATTATTATTATTATTATTATTATTATTATTATTATTATTATTATTATTATTATTATTATTATTATTATTATTATAATATTGTTATTATTATTTATTATTATTATATTATTATATTATTATTATTATTATTATTATTATATTATTATTATATTATTATTATTATTTATTATATTATTATTAATATTATTATATCAGTTGTTACATTAGTATTAAAATTATTCTTGCTCTTATTATCATTATTGTTATTAGTTTTTTGTGCAGAGAACGTCAGTAAATTATCTAAAATCCTACAATATTATCATGATGTACTGTAGGGTTACCTGGAGGTTATTCCAGGGATCAGCGCCCCCGCGGCCCGGTCCATGACCAGGCCTCCCGGTGGATCAGGGCCTGATCAACCAGGCTGTTACTGCTGGCCTCACGCAGTCCAACGTACGAGCCACAGCCCGGCTAATCCGGCACTGACTTTGCCTTCAGTAACAATTTTTGTAGCACAAAAGTAACATACGTTATGTTACACATTACGCTAGCATAATGTAAGACTCTGTGTGATGTGCACATGGCAGCTCTCACCTTGCTTCTGCCTTCACCAGCAAATGCCTAGTTGGCCGCTACGTCAATGGCCTGATGATGCAATAATCAGCGTAGTTGTCATGATCCTCTGCTAACTCAGGTAGAGTCGTCTTTATCTTCGTCAATCCTGATCATTAATACCTTCATATTTCGGAAAAAAAGAAGTCGAGTATCCGTGGCCTGTCTTTGTTTTGTTTGATTCGTTCACAATTACTAATTTTTGTAGTGTTATTATGCTTCCTTTGCACCAAAGGGCTGCTCCAGTATTCTGAATTCAGTAGGTGCTAGTTGTTGGTTCTGAAAGCCAGTGTGCTGTTGTCTCTCTATTCACTGCACTCTGTCTCAATCTGCCTAACTGTTGGGTTTAGTAATGGTATTATATTACATCCCTCTGGTGGCGAGGCAGGAAAGGTATCGGTGATTTTAAAAATCCTTTTCCCACACATTCTACTGGAATTTTGTTGTTGTTTTATAAATTCGTGCTTGGTATATACCCAATTACACCAAGACTGGTATTGGTATTCTTGGCCTAGCATGGCAGTAGACCGTGACGTGGTTTCTCAAATGTTTTACATTTAATATCCCACATTTATTATCATGTGTCTTGGGATGCCTCTGGTGTATGGTTATCTTATATGTTGACAAAAAAGCTAGAGATTCTATGGTTTGAAGTGCTGCTTCTCAAGATAAAACCCATCTTAGTAGGAACTAGTTACCGCCCTCCTACCCAGGACCAGTTCTTAGAACACTTTTCCAGAGTCTTGTCCGGACTTCAGAACAATTGTGAGACAATAATACTGGGAGATCTCAATATCTGTTTTCAACAGTAAAATAACAGGCTATGCAAAAGGTATAAGCAAATTCTAGGTTTAAATAGTTACACTCAACTAATTAATACTCCAACCCGGATCACACAGTTCTCAGCCACCCTAATTGACCACATACTTTGTAACCGCTCTGAGAACATTAGTCAGTCAGGCGTCATTACCACAGGTCTTAGTGATCATTTCATCATTTACTGCACCAGGAAAATCACTAGGGATAGGATAGGCCTACACAGGACAATAAAAATGAGGACAACTAGAAACTACAGTGAAGAAACACTGGTAAATAGGCTACACAATTGTGACTGGACAGAGATAACAAGTTGCACGGACGTAAACGATCCCGGGGAAAAAATTTTCCCAAAAATGTTCACTACCATCCTTGATAATATTGTACTAGTTAAAGAGGTTAGAATTAAACGAAGAACTGAACCCTGGATGACTACTGAGATATTAGATATTATAAAATTCAGAGACCAGATGCTAAAAAGATTTAAAGCAAACAGACAGGATATTGCAGCACTAAATGAATTCCAAAGGGTGAGGAACAGAGTACAGAGACTTATAAAAGGAGCAAACGCAAGGCACTACTGCTCAAAAATTGAAGAGTACAAGAATAACCCCAGAAAGCTCTGGCAACAACTAAAACAGTTGGGGTATAGCCATAAACCAGTAGATAGGTCTAACATAGTACTAAATATCGATAACAAGGTATGCCACGAAACATCTAAGGTGGCAAATTGTTTTATTTCCTACTACAAATCTGTCACATCAACACTAGTAAGTAAACTACCAGCTGCATCAAATACCTTTAACACAGACTCTGATAAGTTTAAAACATACCATGCCAATAAAGGGGTAACCCCAAACAGTTGTCAACTAGCAAATGTATCTCATGGCTTCGTTCAAAGAGATCTAAGCAGGTTAAACCCAACTAAGAGCACTGGCCCAGATAACATCCCATCTAAGTTCCAAAAGATGGTGCTTCTGAACTGTCAGTCCCTATTGCTTACATAATAAATTTGTCCATCACCACTAATACGGTACCGGAGGGGTTCAAGGAGGCCAGAGTTGCTTATAACTTCAAGAAAAATAGAAGGTCTGATGTAAGCAACTATAGGCCTGTTAGTATACTCAGTATAATATCTAAAATTCTAGAGAGGGCGGTGTACTCTCAAGTAGTTAAGTACCTTAATGACAACAACATTCTCCATAATTATCAATCTGGTTTTAGAAGATCTTACTCAACCGACACCTCCCTAATTAATCTGATGGATTAAATGAGAACTGAAATGTCGATCGAGAACCTCATAGGTATGGTAACCTTGGACCTTCATAAGGCCTTCGATACTGTCAACCACAATATATTATGTAAGAAACTTCAAGCTATGGGTATAGGTTCCGTAGACTGGTTTAAGTCCTACCTTAGCAACAGGAAACAAATTTTCAAAATCAACAAAACAGAATCAGAATCCCAACTGATAGCATGTGGAGTTCCCCGAGGTAGTATTCTGGGTCCCTTATTATTCCTTTGTTATGTTAATGACGTGTCCATCAGTGTCAATTGCAAACTCCTACTGTATGCGGATGACAGTGCTCTGTTAGTGTCAGGTAAAGACCCACAAGATATAGCTAATGTTTTAACACTAGAACTGGAGTCCTGCAGCAAATGGTTAGTAGACAACAAACTATCATTACACCTAGGGAAAACTGAAGCCATTCTCTTTGGCACGAAACATAAACTGAGAAGGGTAAATAATTTTAACGTTCAGTGTAATGGGGAACCCATCACTTCAGTTTCCTCAGTAAAATATCTGGGAATCCCTTTTGACCCATGTATGTCAGGAGAATTGCTAGGGAACAGTGTGGTAAAGAAAGCGAATGTCAGACTGAAGTTCCTCTATAGACAAGCACAGTGTCTACCTACTGAGGCTCGCAGGACCCTATGTCTAGCCCTTATAAAGTGTCATATGGACTGCGCTTGCTCTTCATGGTACTCTGCCTTGACAAAAAAAAAAAAAAAAAAAAAAAACTGAAAGATAGACTGCAAATCACCCAGAACAAAACTGTAAGATTCATCCTGGACCTGGGTCCTGGACCTGGGTCCATGAGAACATGTAGGCCGGGATGAATTACAACAGTTGGATATGCTGAATGTTGAAGACAGAGTAAAACAACTGAAGCTAAATCATGTTTATAAAATTGCTCACAAACAGTGTCCAGAATATCTTGCTGCCAATTTTGTCAAGGTTGGGAACCAAAACAATCATAGTACTAGTGGGAGAGAGAGCACTACTTTGTAGTTCCCACAGTCATAAGCAATAAGGGAATGGAACAGACTGCCTGCATATGTCAAAGCCAGTAATGTATGACCTAGTTCAAGAAGAGTGCCAAAAGGTGCCTAATAAATGTAACAAGAGAAAGGGAGGAGAATGTTTTTTTTTATTTATTTAGCTAACACACATGAAATCTTCCCTTATTCCTAGTACATTTTCTTTATAGTGTAATAATAAGATATTATATCCTTTAT